GCTATTTAAAGCGCCCTTCTTTCTCCGCGCTGGCTGTTGTCGCCCTGTTGATGACATCAGCGACGTGGTGTAATCGGGCGCGGCTTAGTCGAGCGCGGTTTTGACGGGTCACGACTTCCAAAATCAATTCCAAAATTAAATTGATATTTCTACAGACTACTGCATGATCAAATTGCCAGAATGATCTTATTATCTGGGTGGATAATGCATAAGTCCTCCCTTACTGATAACGCTGCTAACTCTGAAATTCTCCTGGCCGATGTGATAGCTATGAGAAAGGTGGTCTTAAAAGTCAGATGCCGGAGGCTAGAGTATCTCAATGGTTCAAACGGAGCAGAAGTGAGTGCTTGTAAAACAATGGAAAGCTCCCAGGTTGGCTATCGATGAACTGCCTGGGCCAATGGGGAGTGACTAGAAGAACGTCTACCCCTTCTGCTGAGATCTTTCTGATCACCCTGGGGAGAAGAGGGAGTGGCAGAAAGGCGTACAGGAGACCCCAAGGCCAAGGGCAGCAGCGGGCATTGACACCCTCTGCTCTGGGTGACTAGAACCTGGAAAAAAACCAGGGAAAATGGGTGTTCTCCGGCCACGTAAATTGGTTGACTGTTGGTTGGCCGAACCTCAACGACAGCTGCTGGAAAAGGTCTGGAATGCAGGTGCAACTCTGAGTGATTGATGGTGGTCCTGCTCAGCCAATCCGCTTGGGTATTATCTACTCAGGAGATGTGCTGGATCTGACATACGCTCTCTGCCCACAGTCCTAGAGCCTCTGCCTCCTCCATGAGGGACTTTGATCGAGTGCCCCCTTGTTGATTGACATGAACTTTGGTTGCTACATTGTCTGTCAATAAAAGAACATGGCGATCTTGTATTTCCTTCAGGAAGTGGCGGAGGGCCAGCCACGCTGCCCTCAGTTCCAGCCAATCGATGTTGGGGGACAGGTCCTCTGAAGACCACCTGCCCTGAGTTACCCGAGTCTGTAGGTGGGCACCCCAGTTGAATAGGCTGGCATCTGATGCAATGATCAGGTGGTTGGGCTCTTTGAAGAGGCAGCCCTTCTTCATGGCCAGAGACAGCAACCATCTGAGGGAGCAGATGACCTTTGGTGGAACACAAACTGTTGCAGTGGAGCTGCTGGTGCTAAGTCTCTGCTGTGGTGGGAGGAACCACTGGAGGGTTCTTGCGTGCAGCCAAAGAACTACTGTGATACACGAGATCATCTTCCCCAGAAGATGGGAAAGAAGGATCACTGTCAACAGTTTGCGACCTCCGAACTAGGGTCACAAGAGTTTTGATACTTACGTTCCTGGGAGAGAAAAACCTTGCAGCCCAAGGTGTATATCACTGCTCCCAGGTGGAGCAGTCTGGTGGTGGAAGTCAGGTGACTTTTCTCCAGGTTTATGGAAAAACCGTGGGTTTGAAGTGTTTGCATTGTAATCCAGGAGGTCTTGTGATGCTTGTGGTAGGGACGACGATTGGATGATGATGTCATCCAAGTAACATTGAAATCTTACTGGCCTTGCCCTGAGGTGAGCTGCCACTGCGGCTAACAATTTAATGAAGGTCCTGGGCGCTGATGACAGGCCGAATTGTATTGATAATGGTGCCCTGTGTAGTAGAACCTCAGGAATCTTCTTTGGGACAGGTGAATTGGAATAATAGAGATAACATTTTAGATCTATTGATGTCAAGCGGTTGCCCTCTCAGATGCATCCCAGGATCGTTTGAAGGAATTGCATTTTGAAACATTTGTACGCCAGGTGGACGTTGAGCTTTTTCAGATCTAGGATTGCTCTACACACACTCACACAGACACCAAATTATTTGGCCCTAGAAAGAAGATGGAGTAGAAGCCCCTCCTGTCCTGCCCTATAGGAATTGGTTTTATGGCCCTGATCTCTAGCAGATGCCACATTTTGGTTCCCATGAGGCTGTTTTTGGAGAGGCAGGTAGGGGTGGGACAACAGAAAAAGTGCCTTGAGGGGAAGGAGTTGAACTCCAAGGTAAGACCCAGCTTTATTGTCTGTAAATCCCACACGTTTGTGGTGATCATCTCACATTGGACAGCTACTGCCTGCCTCTGTCTCAAAATGGCTGTCTGTCCTGAGGACGATCAGTTCCCTGGGGGTAGGATCCATTGAAATGAAGGGGAATTATTATTTGTGTCAGGTACCCAAAAGGATTGCTACAAAAGTAAGTTGGAGTTCTGCGCTCCACCCCACTCCACTCCATCATGTAAGGCAAAGCCTTCCTCTTTTCCTTGGTCTCGATTAGAATGGGATCAAGTGAGTCCCCAAAGAGGTTACCTCCCTTGAAGGGAGCAGAGTCAAACTTCCATTTTGACCTCATGTCCACGTGCCAATGGTGAACGACAGAAGGTGACGTGAAATAACGTTGGACACTAGGGCCCTGGATGTGAACTTAGGGTAGCATCTGCAGAAAACTCTGCTGCAGCTATCAACTTGTTAATGTCCTGGCACAGCCTGGTAACCTCTGGGGGCAACCTAGCCTGCATTTGGCGAAGCCAGAGAAGGAAACTTTGAAAAATGAGGCGGCAGTGGTAACCTTGATGCCCCAGGCAGCTGCCTGATGTGTTTTATGGAATGATTTTTGTTCCTTCTTATCCTCTGCTTCAAACCCTCCATCAGATCTGAAGGGAGAATAGATACTGAAGTCAAAGATGCCACAGGAGCATCTACAGAGGGCAATTGCAGAAGCTCTTCTAGGCTAGGACTGACTGTATAGAGCTTCTTATCACTGTCACGGGGGGCTGCTAGGGAGCAGGGCTGTGACCACTGAGGCTGGATCACGTCTTCAAACATCTTAGGAGATGGAATAATCTGCTGTGCCTAACAGGTTCGTTAAATAGTCCCTCACTGGGATCCTGAAGATCCGTGGTTATCTGTTCAGGGGTGACCCCATATGAGTGGTGGTCTTAGCCTTGTACAAAAGAGACTTGAAAGAGCCCGGCTTAAGGAGCCCCGTGAAGGCAGGCTTGTCCAGAGTAAGACCTTTGTCCTCCAATAGGTCTTGGTCAGCCTGGTCTTCCTACCCCACATGGATTCCTCACTGCATAAGGAGGGACGAGGCCTTGTGGAAGTGGCCGTTTTGGAGCTAGTCTGGCAGGACGCTGGTCCCTTTGTTGGAGCCCCTCAGCGATTCATTGGGAAATGGCCTGAGAGATGACATTGCACATCTCCTCAGAAAGGGCAGGTCCCTGGTCTTCTAATTGATGCAGCCCCGCTGCAGTGGGAGTGAATGTGGCCTATGGGGGTGACCATCTGATTGGGCCTGTTGCCTCCCTATCTGCAGGGACATTGCAGTCAAAGGGTACAAACTCCTCAATGGAGGGAGCTGGGGAACCTAGGGCTCCTGTGGTGCCATATAGCGACCAATCTCGATGTTCCTCTTCTAAAATGGGGGAGAGGGAATGTTCCAGTTGCAAGAGAACTTCTATATCCACCTCTCCAGGTAGGCTGTTACCTTGGGCTCCAGCTGAGATCTGTATCTGCACCTTAGCAAATTGTTTCTCTAACGCCCTCTGGCGTCTAGCAGCATCCTTGTCTGAGCCCCTGGCTCCCTTCCAAATGGGGGAACGTTGTGGCCTAACTCCCCTCAAGGCCTCTCTCACTGAAGCGCTAGCCTTCCTAGGGCCGGGCCTGCATTGGTGGCTAATTGAGAGCTCTGCCTGGTTGCTGTTCCCTACTAGGTCTTTCTCTCTGCAATCCTGGAATAAGTCCAACTGTTTCACTATCTGACTGAGGGAAAAGTGGCTGAATACAGCACGTCTTAATGTCCAGAAGGGTCCTGCGCCAACCGTCAAGGGGCAGAGTCCGCAGAAAGAGAGATCCTGGAGGTCGAGGACCACTCACCGATGGCTGCAAAACTGGATACTAAAATTGCACAAACCTCAATGGCTCTGCGGCACTCAGGTTAATCAGTGGGCTGACTGCAATAGAGAAAAAGAGTGCAAATCACCAACAGCAAAGATCTGCGCCAAAGCAGATCTGTAACTCACAGAGTATGACCAGTGTTGGCCAAGAATCCGACGCTGCTGCGGTGATAAAAGGTGGTGGCGATCCACTCAGCGACCCGAACAGGATCCATCCACTCACCCGTGGCGATCTGCAAGGGAAAACAGGTGAGCGACAATCTGGCAGCCAAAAGCGCACGAAGGAAAAAGTTTTGAATTTGTCGCTCTCAGTGCAAGGGAAAAGCCTGCCACTGCATCTGCAACGTGGTCCGAAGTTCAGAACCAACACCAAGGCTACCTGACCAAATTGGCGGTCGGCGATGGTGACGGTCCACTGGCAACCCAATTGGGCCAGTCACACCTCAACAGCTGAGGTAGTTTTGCCCAAACCACACACAGCAGAAGGGTTAGGGCTGCATTGATGGAGAACCCATGTGACTAGAGAGCTTGAATTGTGAGGGAAAGATCAAGGCCTGCCCGTTCCCTCGAGACTGATTGTACCAAGATGTCAGGATTGGTATGTATGACCTTAGCAGTCACCTTCAAGCTCTTTTTGGGCTTAGAGGTCTTGCTGGCCTTGGAAGCCTTATTGTGGGCTCTGGTTCCCTCTCCACCCTGAGAAGTAGAGGGTCTTGCTGGAGAGAAGGGAGCCTGTGCTGTTGCTATGAAACCTGGACTAGCTTCGAATGACCCAGACATGCTGCTGTCCGCCATTGTCGGGAGACTCAGAGCGCTTGACAAAATGACAGGCACATGTCTCTTGCTGCTTAAAATAGTGTTTTGTGTCTTTTCAGACCGTCTCTTATTGTGCCTTGAGGTGCAGAGAACAATATAGTGCCCCCCTCTCTCTGCCGCCCGACCGCAGTCAAAAATAGCACTTTGCGCCATTTTAATTTCCCGTCGCTGTTAGAAGCCTCAGAAGTGAGGCAAAGGACCGCCCGGGTGAACGTGTGCTGTGCACTGGCTGTGGTGCTCCTCCGGCAGCATAATCAGGCTGATAAGCCCTATCGTGCTACACGACTGCAAGGGATCCGGTGGAGAGGGATCGAGCTGTACGCACCTCCGCTCATCTTCTCATGAGCGGCCACGACTCAAAACACTTGATAGAAGACAGCTTGCTCCACGCTTGCAGAAAGGTCTCGTAGCTATTGCTACAGCAGCAGCCATCAAAGAAGACTGTGGGGGAGCAGGTCACTCGTTACTGCCAATGATCGTCTGAGGCTGTCAAAACTCCGTTTTCCCCCCACCGATAGACCCAAAGCTGGTGCCTCAGTGAGGTGTGGATCTGACAGGCCTAGGCCTTTGTGGCCCAACATGGCCAGAAGGACCGCCAGAGTTATTAGACCTTTATGATAAGATATATCAGCTGTACCCATAGAAGATTTACTGCAATTTTGAAATAATTGAGATAATTTTGAATAAATTGAGGTGAAGACAAATCATACTAGAGCAATAGGATAACACAACCATCCTCATAGTGGACTGAGTCGAAAGCTGGGTGGAGCTACCCATAGGGATGGGTTATAAAGGGTATTAATTAATTATTAATCAGACCCAGAGTGTGGACAGTGTTAACCCATGCATGGATGCTATCTCCACTGTATTGAGAATTCTTTGGATAGATCCTTACTGGGCTAGACTGAGATGAAAACTAGATGCAGTAGAGAACAGGAGGCATAGCCAAAGAATTTACACTCAGTCTCTGGGCAGATAGACAGAAGTTAACCCATGCTTGGACTCTCCAAGCAGCACACAGGAGGTGGTCAAATAGCTCTCCCTTCCACAGATGAAGAAAAACTATAAATTTTTGATACTACCGTGTTTCCCTGAAATTATGACATGTCCTGATAATAAGGCCATGCCATATTTTTCCTGTGGGCAAAAATATACGCCCTCCCCCAATAATAAAGCCCCTGGACACCCCCTCCAGCCAGGCAGAGCGCCACTCGCCAACCTAGCGATATCTTGAAGGCGCAAAGCCACAGGAACTAGGGAGCAAAGGTGCTCACATTGCTTGACGCCTTTGGTATACCGCTAGGTTGGTGGGTGACACTGTGCCCAGCTGGAGCGGGGAGTTGCCAGGCAGCTGCTCTCATGAGCAACCGCCCGGCAATGCCCCTTTCCAGCCGAGCAGAGCGCCATTCATTGACCCAGTAATATCCCAAAGATGCTAAGCCGCGTGGTGCTCTGCCCAGCTGGAGAGGTTGCGCGATCACTTGTTCTGCCCCCAGCTCGCGTGCCTCCCAGCCTCAACATGCCCAGCTCTCCCTGCATGGTGGCCCCACTGCCTGGCTTCCAAACTCCCGAGATTCACTGCCGAGTCTTCCGGCAGCGGCCGCTCAGGGACTACGCTTCCCACAGCCAGCCCACAACCATAGAGCTCTAGGCAGCGGATCTCCGGAGTTTGGAAGCAGATTATGCTTGGAGCATGGTGGCGGCGGCGGCAGCAGCAGTGGGGCTGCGGCACCCTGGCCCGGCCCTGCAGGGAGAGCTGGGCATGTTGAGTCTGGGAGCCACGTGAGCTGGAGGCAGAACAAGTGCTTGCACACCCTCTCTTTCCAGCCGGGCAGAGAGCTATGCGGCTTAGCGCATTTGGGATATTACTGAGTTGGTGAGTGGTGTTCTGCCCGGCTGGAAAGGCGCGTTGCCGGGTGGCTGCTCATGAGCGTAGTCACCTCATGGCAGCTTTATTGCGTTGTTGTGACAACGCAACACAGCTGTTTGCCCCTGAGGCTGCGCCCAGCTCTTCGGGCGCCCGCTCGCAAGAGAGCAGCCACCTGGCAACCCCAAACCAATAAGACACCCCCCGCCCGATAATAAGGCCCAAGCAAAAAAATTTTGGGGGGGGGTCAAAAGAAAATAAGACCCTGTCTTATTCTCAGGGAAACACGATATGAATATCTGGTTCCAGATTTTAGAGACACCCTCTGCCCACCCATGCGGCATAGTTTCAGTCCTCGGATGGAATTACCACTTGAAGCAGCAAAATAGATAAATGGTGCAGAAACATTAGCTTGCAAAGTTGCCTTCAAAATATCTACAATTCCTTTCTACTTGCCATCTCATTAACAAGGGGATGCTGGGAACTTGTATATTGCGTGAGTCATCTATTTTCTCTGTACTTACTACAGTCCAATTAAAGGCAGCGACAGGACTGGAGGAGGGAATCAACTGGGCACAAGTATTTGCCTGATCATAATATGAACTGGCAACAAACCTGACTGAACTGGAACTCTTCTAAATAACTACACTAACCAGAAATGCACACAAACAGATAGGTATTCTATTGTGATATGATGCACATCACAATTAAAAAAATGTGCTACTTTATACACGTAGACCTCTATTTACAACCACAATTGAGCCCAAAATTTCTGTTGCTACCGTGTTTTCCTGAAAATATGACGTGTCCTGATAATAACGCCATGTCACATTTTTCTGGTGGGAAAAAATATAAGCTCTCCCCCGCAAATAAGCCCTCTGGACAACCCCCCCCTTCCGGCCAGGCAGAGCGCTGCTCACCAACCTAGTGGTATCCCAAAGGTGCCAAGCCACGGGAATCGAGGGGGGAGGTGTTTGCGTTGCTTGATGCCTTTGGGATACAGGCGCTCACGCGGCTTGGTGATACCTGTAGGTCAGTGAATGGTGCTGTGCCCGGCTGGAAATGGGGTTTGAAGGTGGCTGCTCATGAGTGTGGTTGCTTCAGCGCCAAACAGCTATTTGCCCCTGAGGCTGTCCCCGGATCTTTGGGATCTTGCTCATAAGGGAGCAGCCACCCAGCAACCCCAAAACAATAAGCCCTCCCCTGAAAATAAGGCCAAAGCCATATTTTGTGGGTCAAAAGAAAATAAGACCCTGTCTTATTTTTAGAGAAACACAGTAAGTCAGACATTTGTAAGTGAATTTTGCCCCATTTTATGACCTTTCTTGCCAGTTAAATGCAATACGAATTATACTAGTTAAGTTAGTGACGTTGTTAAGTGATTCTGACTTTCCAATTGTCTTTGCTTGTCAGAAGGTCATAAAAAGTGGTCATATGCCCTGCAACCCTCACAAATATGAGTAAGTTG